ATATATATATATATATATATATACAATATACACTCCAACGCTATAAGAAACTTCATCTTGTTCTTTGATTTTCCCTTCTACAGTGTTACTGATGAGAGATGGAATTCCCCAAAAATTAGTATAGCTCAGTATTGACAGGTTTTCACATATATTTTCATTATATGCACAATTAATCTGTTTCAAGCTAAAATAAAGAAGTTTACTTTAGAAAGGTTTAAAGGATTTTATACAAATATATATGTAGCAACATAACTTTGAATTTAACTTGGTAAATTCATCATTTTGTTTAACAGGGAAGAAATACATAGAAAACAATTTTAAATATCACTGACAGAAAATCAGTAGTGCGTGTTAAATCTAGGTTTAAAAACATAAAATATTTGACAAAGGTAATTTGAAAATATTTACACCCACTGTAATGCTATTTCTATTAGAAATATAAAAAATCCTTACTTCTTTCACATAATACTTAAAGGTATCTTCAGCTTCATTGAGAACAAATTTTCGTAAATGAAATTTTCCATCTTCTTTTCCACGCTTCCACAAATGCCCTTCCATAAAACCCTTTATATAAATCTGTTCTTCTGTGTGCAGAAATTCTTGCCTATCATACTTGGCTTGTATCCACTGTTCCTTTAAAACTCTGGTTATAAAAAATAAAATAGAATTTTCTGCATGTTAAATACACATATTAGGAAAGCAGATCATTGAAAATTAGTCCATATTTTGAAAAACAATGACATATAGAGTTCTTAGTCACAAAAATATTTTGTTTAAGTCACACATACTTAAGTTTAAGTTTTCAAAATTGAAGAGGGAGAGCAACATATTAATACAACTTTTCAAATTCTGGATCTTGAAACACACAATGTTAGGAATAATGGAGTTTGTTTCTTGCATAAAAAGATTATTACACACTAAAACTTGAAAATACAAGTCACAATATGTTTAAACAAACATGGTCAATTAGAGCTTTATTTGGAAATTTTTAGATATGAGGTACAGTGAAGAGATTTTTAAGAGGAAATTTACTAATAGCGTATGACTTGGTAAAGATATCTTGAAAACATACATGAACTTAAACTCAGACCTAGAAGAAGTTATTCTAATTCACTCAGATATTGACAAATTTTATTCTGCTGTGTAGAAAATGAACAGTTAAAGTAGTTTGAATTTCATGGATAATATATGGTAAGGTTTAAAAAATAGTTTTGTTCTAGGTACATAAGATTGATACATAAGTAGATACGTATAAAAAATTTTAACTTAAGATATTTTAGTTTTTGCAATTCTTTGATAAAAAAGTATTAGCTTTGTTTTTGTTTTATGGTTGATGAAACTTCTATCTAATAATTCTTAAAATGCATAAACTTACAGTAACCACTTCATTCCAAAATTTAACATCTTCCTTACCTGAAAATGCATTTCAGATTGTCATCTTTCTGCAAAACAAAGAGTGCCTTGTACCACTGTTGTGCAGATTTTTGTGAGTGCCACAAGCCTTGAACAAAGCTCCCACCCCTACATGTACAAACATATGTTGTACTAGGCTATGGTTCTAGTTAATCTGAACATCCAGATCCCATACATATGATAATTTGTCTGGACACATGAGACTTGATCCCCCAAGATACCAAATACACACCACAAAATGCCCCATATGTAGGACAAGCACAAGTACTTTACTTTAAACTTTGTACCATAAGAAACTAAACAGCATACAGTTTGAACACAGCTGTCCACAGTCAACTTTTAATGTTCCACCAAGGATAATAAATTGCATGAAAGTAAAGATACCTTAAAGTATCACATGATTAACACTTTCACCTCGGGCAGGTCAAAGTGCTCATGTCACAACTGTTCACAGAGTTACATTCAAAATGTAATTAAACTACTTTATTATCAATGTATACGAATAAACTTGGCATTGGAACATAGATAATAAATCAAAGTTTAGTATTATTTAAGTTTTAAGTTATTAATTTTATAAGGAAATATTTAAAACTTTTTTCAATTTCCCTTAGCAGGAGAACTGTGACATTTGTTATCTATGTCTAACCTCTTCTCTAATTTTTTTACCACCCCTCTGAGAAGTATGAAACTTAATGCAAATTACTCATTATAATGTTTTCATCATTCAGGCAAAGAACAATTTACATAGCCTTCAATCATATTTAATTACAGAGCAATAAAATAGAAAATCAGACCCCTCTTGCCATGCTCATCTGTCACATCCTCTCTTTCAGAACTTACCAGTAGTTCTCTGACATTTAAGACTATTATTTATAACCAATAGAAAGCAGAAGTTTTTCTCTATCAAATGACTATTACACTGAATTGTTGTCTGTACAGAGAACTGTATATTTCCCTTCCAGTTCAAACTTTATTCCCACGAGAAACCCATCGATAAGCTTAGCTGAATTTTTAATGGCTCTTGTCACTTTTATCAAACATTGTTTCTTTTTTTGCATGTTATTATTTTGAGTTCTTTGGTGTATTATTTAATTTAACAGAAATTATTTAATGCAGTTGTACAATTAGTATAAAATAGTAGGGTTAAGTTTCATCAAGAGTTAAAAAAAGGATTTTAGTTACTTTTATATTAATAAACAAAGAATAACATGAAAAACAAGAAATAAAGTACTTACCTGGGTGTCAAAATTGAAAACTTTTCAGGTTGGGTAAAATAAAATAATAATAATGTTAATAATAATATTTTTTTTTATGAGGTATGCTCGCAAGTAATCTGTGCATTATGAAAATCGATACTGTAATGCGAGTTGCATGTTCACCATGTGACTTGCAATTTAAAAAGCAATTAATAGTTAAACAAAGTTCCAAGTTCAATAAAATTTAAGTATAAATAAATGTATACTGTTACAAGCTTTAAGCTACTTAGGATAAACAACTGTGGTTTTCTGTTACAACTTACATTCATTCCAGAAAGAAAATAGGGGAACTTTATAATTATTTTCTAATTTCTTTTTATGGTTATGAGGTCGGTAAAATCAACTGACCTCCTATTGAGTTAAGATAAAGAAAATAACAGATAAAATACAAAGTTTTCTGAAAAAAAAACAAAAAAACATTTGATATATATTTAAGAGGTTTTTGGGGTTATGCAAATGATATTTGAAAGTTTTCAGATAAAGTATTTTTAATCTTATCATGAAAAATTACTTTGCAGTTATAAAGGGAAACAACATGCAGTGTGAATTGTAAATAGTTTTTTATTGAACATTAACACGCCCTTTCCATTTGCAGAAGGTAAACATGTAGTGTACATTGTAAATAAAGTCTTTCACTAACACTGAAGTGCTTTTTTCCTTTTTTTTTTGAGCTTATTAAATTCTACCTATGAGACCATTGAAAATCTCACTAGAACTCTTAATAAAAAATATTTGAGAGTCTGGAACTCTAATGGGAACCATGCTAGCATACGATTTAATCATCATTAGACTAAAACCTTTTACCAATAAGGGGGGAAACATCTTCCACGCCCAGTTAATCCCAATAAGGAGTAGCATTTGAACAAAGACTCGTTCTGGATGAAGCATAATAAATACATTGAAAGTGAGAAGAAAGGGTGGGAGGTTGTACAGGAAAATAACTATTTGAAATACATTTTCAGGGAAAGAAAATGCTCAATATATTCTATGACCATTCTTGTGCAAAGATTTCATAAAATAAGTATGAACAATCAAAGTTTAAAATGCACATTAATTTACTGTATAAAGTTAAAAGTAAAATATAAAACTAAAAACTCTAAATGTTTTGGTGGAAAAGTTCCACTAAAAATGTAGAGTTTTATTTAATTTTGTATTTTGCTTTTAACTTTATGCAATAAACTACTGTGCATTTTTAAATATTTAATGTTCTTACTTATTTTATGAAAGAAAATGTTAACTTTAGAAACATTTACTTCATCTCTCTGCAAAAAAAGAAAGAGCAAAAATCCCACACTGAGAAGATGGTATAGGGGCCAGTGCAGGTAGAGAAATTACAAAGATGAGCTCAATGGGAGACTGCATCAATACTCTTCACCCAATAGAAGAGGTAGAACAAAAGATATTGTCAAAAAATCCCCTTTTGTGTGGTACTAAAGTATTATATAAGGAGGCAGATATTAATATTTTCCTACACTGAAAATATATTTTCGATAGATACCTCTTTTCACAGTTATAGCTATTCTTCATTTAACTGTTCTCTAGTGCTCAAATTTTTGCTTGCCACTAGCTTTGAAACTCCAACCCAATTCCACATGTATACAACATGGTTCAGCTGTGTTTAAGTATGTAAATTAGCATGTGAAACTTCTCCATCAATAGGAGTGCAACAAACCCTCCTATCACAGCTGACTCCTTTGATGCAGTTGAATTCAATCATCACTTCAAGATAAGGCAAAAAAAACAAAACACTGGAAGTGTAGAGGACAGGTTAGAAGTGCGAGAGGAGGTATGTATCGGAAATATTTTTTCATTGTAGGAAAGTAAATTAACTTCTGATTCAATTACTTATCTCTTCTCACAGTTACAGCTAGAATCCCACATTAAGCAGGTTGAGGGACCAGTGTAAAAGCATCTGAAGAGCACCCATGGAGTGTGCCCTCTCTATAGAGAGGGATCACACACATGGGAGACTGCACCACATCTGAACCAGGTATACTCTTCATCCATGTGGAGCTAACAGGTGTGGTATCACAATCATAGGGCAGAACAAAGTAATAATTCCAAATTCCTTAGGAAGAGAAATGTGCGTAGAGTGGTTAGGGCATGTTGGACCTTAAGCAAAGGTCAACTTCAATTCAAATCAGTAGCACTGGGAGGAACACAAGCAGTTAATGGTAGAAGGAGGGGCCCTCAACCATTCACCTCAGGTCTGGGAACCAGAAGGGAAAAACTTCCATTCTAAAAACCTAAACCATCATGTGCACAAATTGAGCAGGAAACTCTGGGAATGTACACCTGGATGATGTCAGGAAGTTGGAAATGCAACATGGAGGGTCAATTCTTGTATAAAATCAATTGGCTTTGGAGATGTAACATCCAGTCCATGTCAGGAGGAAGTTCCCAGCCCACTCACATGTGAGAATTGATGTTGGCTGGTTCACCTCCCACCAAAACCAGTCACCCAGAAGCCAACATCCAGGCAGTGGTAAGAAGGAGAGTTTCCAGCGTGAGGGTCAAACTGTAAAATAGATGGAAAAATCCAGTCCAGACTGGCTACATCTAGAGAAAATATCAGACCAGTGGCAGAAGGATAGTCATACCTTCTACACAGGCAGAATACCACCACCCTACTCTCAACTGAATGTAATTATGCACACTCAGGAGGAATCCACCATGATCTAAAAAAGGTTAGAGATAGGCAGCATCTTTTCTGCTCTACTCTTGTTTTTCCACAAGTGTACAGTCCAGTACAAACATATTTATGATGAAATATACCATAACAAAGAATCTGCAAGTAGTCTTGAGGAACATCCTATGTAAATAGTGAGCACAATAGACCTTATAGATCTCATGGTGCAGATTTTGGATATCAGTATACCTGGACAGGCACCACTTGCCACAGAGCAGGATCCATTACATGTAAAGTAGGCCCTGAAAAAAAAAAAGGAAAAAACAATCTTATGCATTCAGAGTT